AGCCTCTCCTTCAACTCCAACACGGCCCTGAAGGAGATCTACGGCTTCAAGGCCAACGTGCGCAAGGCCGAGTTCTACGAGGCCTTCCAGCACCCGGCCCCGAACACCCACAACACGCGGGACAAGGCCCTCCACGCCCGCAAGCGCCGCGTGCTGTCCCAGGCCTTCTCCGACAGCGCCGTCAAGGAGATGGAGAAGTACGTGCTCGCCAACATCCGCTCGTTCTGCGAGCAGGTCGGCAGCTTGGTCAGCACGAGCGCAGGAGGAGTCGTCGATCATGCTGCTGCTGAAGAACGTAAGGGCTGGTCCGCCCCCAAGAACATGTCCGACTGGTGCAACTACCTCTCTATGGACATCCTCGGCGACCTGTGCTTCGGCAAGGCCTTCCACATGCTGGAGCGGCCCGACAACCGGTACGCGCTGGAGCTGGTGTCGCTGGCAACCACGAGACATCTGATCGTGAGTGACCTTTTGGTTCTGTTCTCTTCATCCGCCCCTTTCCGGGATGGAGATCTCTCATCCCACACATGCGTGCCCGCCCATACGTCAAGCGGGACAGCTCGCAGTGCTGCTAGAATAAAAGGGATGTGCGTGCTCACACTTATGTTTTCGTTTCATCACAGTGCGGCACGATGCCTCTGGTCGGCAAGCTCCACCTCGACAAGGTGCTGTTCCGCAAGATCGCCGAGGGCCGGGCCAAGTACATGAACTACAGCAAGGCGCAGCTGACGGAGCGCACCAAGCTGGGCGACGACACGGACCGCCGGGACTTCTTTTACCACCTGCTGAAGGCGCGCGACCCCGAGACCGGCCAGGGGTTCACGACGCCGGAGCTGTGGGCCGAGTCGAACTTGCTGTGAGTTACCCAAGCCCCGATACTCGATGCCCGTTTGAGAACCGTATATCGGAACCACTTCTTGCACATGGAGTTCATATGATGAACAAAATGAAAGAAGTAAAGTAAAGGAAGGAGAAAGAAGGGGCAAAAGAAAAAAGAAAAAAAAAAAAAAAAGACGGGATGGCCTGGGCTTACCTACCTACTGACCACAATGGCGAAAACAACAGGATCATCGCAGGCTCCGACACGACCTCGACCGCCATGGCCGCGACGTTCTTCTACCTCGTGCGCAACCCGGCAGCACTAGCCCGAGCGACCGAGGAGGTCCGGCGCGCGTTCGACGGCAGTGACAGCAGCAATGACGACGACGGCAACGACGACACCACCGCGAAAGGCGCCGAGGCGATCCGCCAGGGCGCGACGCTGACCTCGTGCGGCTACCTGCGCGCCTGCATCGACGAGGCCATGCGGCTGTCGCCCTCAGTAGGCGGCATCGCGCCGCGCGAGGTGCTGGCCGGCGGGCTCTCCATCGACGGCGAGCGCGTGCCGGCCGGCGTCGTCGTCGGCGTGCCCCACTACACCATCCACCACAACGCGGCGTACTACCCGCGGCCGTTCGAGTACGTGCCGGAGCGGTGGCTGGACGCGGACGCGAGCAGCAGCGATGTAGCCCTCGCGCAGAGCGCCTTCTGCCCGTTCAGCATCGGCCCCCGCGGATGCATCGGAAAGGGCCTCGCCTACGTCGAGATGATGACCGCTATCGCCCGCACCCTGTACCTGTACGACCTGCGCTGCGCCGCGGGGCTGGACGACCCGGCTGAGGGCGGGAGGCCGGGCGCCGAGTGGGGGCGTCATCGGGTTGGGGAGTTTCAGCTGGTTGATCAGTTTACGAGTCGGAAGGATGGGCCGATGGTCGAGTTTAGGAGGAGGCTGGATTTGAAGTAAAGGAAGGGGGAGATGGATAGTTGGGCGAGGTGGAAGGATGCATGGCTGTGGGTTGGTATGCAGTATGTGTCTGCCTACATGATTAGATGGCTGACTGACTGACTGACTGACTGATGGATAACTATGATGACGAAACTGGAGAGGGGTCCGTGTCTGACCGCTTGATGTCACCTCTTGAGAGAATAAACGCCCAGACTCCTCCTACTGGGATGGTGTATATGTATGGATGTATATAGACTGGATAGCATATAGCCGAACCATACATAATACTAAGTACGTAGTAACTAGTTGATGCTTTCTTTGGCCTATAAAGGCCCAGTGAGAAACGGCACTTCCGTAACCGTATAGGGATCTCGACCGCCTCTGCTGCCGGCTTGGCAGGAACCAAGTTTCCCTGGTCCGCTACTTTCGATTCCCATGAGTCCAAGAAGATCTGGACTTTCTCGCTAATATTGTTGTTTACCATGTAGGTATAAATACATAGGTCAGGTCTGACATTCCAATGGCGATAGCTGCTGGCTGATCCCGCATTGGGTCGCATGTGACGCATCTTCCGGCCAAGAAAACGAAAACAAGAAAATAGGCTGGAATCCAGAGGACCTCAGAGGTGCGGCTATGAAGCATACGTGCTGCGGTACAGTGGAGGCTCGGGGCAATGCGGACGGACATGGTGCAGGGGTGATATCTGGCCTGATATCCCGTCGTACCCCATACTCTCTCTCGTTCCCCTCCAATTCTTAGCTCTAGGGAATGGGTTCCTATTTCAGCATTTCGTTGATGCTAATTGACTAGTACTTCATGTGATGCTAGCTAAATACCTATGCAATGTGTGCCTGTAGATCCCCGATTCCACTCAAAACGACAACACCCTATACCACGGCGAAATCATGGCCGCTGGCTCGGGGCATTGATAACGATAGTGTTGCTCAAGGCTCGTGTTGTGACCTTGGCCTACGGTGTATATCCTGTTCTTGGCTGGTTTACCCCAACTTCTCCCAGCCTATTATCATCAACTCCTCATTATAGGCTCTCGGCTGAGGCCAGGAACGAACCATGGTAGGTGAGATCACAACGTCACATTTCGACGGTAAATTGCTGGGGTCGGCCATAACTTCGTATATGTATATATATAACTACGCTTTCTTCTCTGATGGCGAGATAGCCTAGGGGCTGAAGTACGATGGCTTGCCTTTCAGCTACGCCACGCTAAAATGTTCAAATCATTGCTCCGTTGCCCCCTCACTTCCTTCCTGGCTGTGAGCACCGGCCTACTACAGGTTGCACATGCTAGCCCACTAGGAGGGGCGGCGCTGCCGCACGAGCACCGCCAGGATGATGGCTGGCCGTACAAACCGCTCGTGACGTCGGGCCGCGACATCAAGAACACGCAGAACGAGACGGTGGTGTACGCGGGGGCCAACTGGCCGGGCCACGGCGAGGTGATGATCCCGGACGGGCTGGCGTACCAGTCGATCGAGGCGGTCGTGTCCAAGATCAAGAGCGTGGGCATCAACGCCATCCGCCTGACGTACGCCATCCAGATGGTGGACGAGATCTACGACAACGGCGGCGAGGACATCACCGTGCAGGCGGCCTTCGCGCAGGCGCTCGGCGCGGCCAACGGCGCCGCCCGGTTCGCGGACTTCCTGGCGGCGAACCCGGGCTTCGACGAGGCGACGACGCGGCTGCAGGTGTTCGACGCGGTCGCGGCCGAGTGCGCGCGCCAGCACGTGTACATCAACCTCGACAACCACATGTCGCAGGGGGCGTGGTGCTGCAGCACGGGCGACGGCAACGCCTGGCCGGGCGACGCCTACTTCGACGCGGACCGCTGGGCGCGCGGCCTAGCCTACATGGCGGACCACGGCCGGGCTTGGGCGGCGCTGACGTCGATGTCGCTGCGCAACGAGCTGCGGTCGCCCGACAGCGACCCGGCGCTGAAGCAGCAGTCGTACCACTGGCAGGACTGGTACGAGTACGTGCGGAAGGGCGCGGACGCGGTGCACGGCGCCAACGCCGACGTGCTGGTGGTGCTGTCGGGGCTGGACTTCGACACGTGGCTCACGCCCGTGGTGCAGGGGACGGCGCTGACGCCGGGGGCGGGCGCGTTCCGCCGCGCCGACTTCGCCGGCTACGGCGACGACAGGCTCGTGCTGGAGCTGCACAACTACGCCAACGACGCGTCGGACTGCGGGGGCCTGCAGAGCGACCTGTACCGCAAGGGCTACCAGGCGCTGCACCCGGAGGACGAGGCCGCCGCGAACGTCTTCCCCGTCCTGATGACCGAGTTCGGCTTCGACGTCGCGACGGGCTGGCGCAGCACCTACGCCACGTGCCTCGCGGACCTGCTGGCGACGGAGAGGGCCGGCTGGTTCATCTGGGTCCTTGCTGGCAGCTACTATATCCGCGGCGGCCGCCAGGACTACGACGAGACGTGGGGTCTGCTGAACCACGACTGGTCCGATTGGCGGTCGTCGGATTACGTCGAGCAGGGGCTTAAGCCGCTCATCGCTGATACGGCGTCGCCGTAGTTATTAGTCGTCTGTGGTCTTGACTTTATAGGTACCTATGTTATTTGATCTGAATGATCTGAATGTATGGATACGCAAAACTAGGTAGTTCGGTAGTTCGGTAGTTGGCTCTGGACGTTGAAATAATTACGAGAAGGGGTGATTGATGAATAAGTAGTTAAGTATGATCAGCGCCATGTACAACTTTACTCTTGCATCTACTGGGTATTTGGTCCAGCTTCGTAACCTCTTGGTCATTGATCGGATTTACCGTACTGTAGTGGTATCCTCTGCAGTCTGGTGTTCCAACCGGCTGGACTGGTGACAACAACACCACCAAGCTGCCATTCGAATGTAAACAAACCTACATGAGGTATCGACTGGAGAGAAAGCCATTGGTGGCTATCATTCCCTCCCAACTTCACCGAAGTCCAGCACTGCATGAGAAAGCACCCATACTCTTCCAAGTTGGAGTTACATGGTAGTGCATGGTCATTACTTATTACTTGGTTGGCCTGTAGACCTCCGGCTTCGATCGTGGACTGAGCTGAACAATGAAAGGGAGGGAGACGGGAGGGACACGAGCACTGCTAGACCTAGCAAAGCGGGGTGTCCATACCTGGGCTGCCTGGGTACTGCCATACGCCACCACCACGTAGTAAGCACACTATCATAGAGGCTTATAGCAAGCAAAATTTCCAATCACAGGTCGCGTAACTCAGTTGGTTAGAGTGTCGTACTAATAACTTCTTCTTCTTTAGAAGTCATCTGGTAATGCGAAAGCCGAGAGTTCAAGCCTCTCCGTGACCAACAATTTCTTTTTTGATTTCTTTTTGCTTGTCTCGAGGTTCGTTCTGATCCTTGTATCTCTTAATTTGCTAGTTCTGTACATCATTTCTGGTTGTCTCAGTCTGTCGAAGTTTTTTTCGTTGGAATTCTGATTAGGTAATTACCATTTAGCTTTCAAGCTTCAAGGTTGCTTCCACTGGCCATTGATAGGCAATCAGGCCCCTGCAATCCGCCTGCACGGCTGCAATGGCCTGCTAATGCGCCGATGCGTCACGTTGAGCTAACTTAGGGGTTACTTAGTGGGGGTTAGAGCTCTCTAAGCTTAAGGTACAATACCACCGGGGCATTGTCTCTTGTCTAATACCAGCCGCTTCTCTTTGTCTCAATTCTCAACTTCATCTACGCCTCGTAGTCCAGCCCGTAGCATCTCAATCAACCTTAATCATTACTACAGTCTTCCATCCCGGATATACCGATCTACCGATCGATCTCTCGTATATGAAGAAGCTACTTCCTACATACCCGAGGCAGTTTATGCCTTGAAACTCAAAGTTCAGTCTGACGCTGTGACTTCAATATGGCACCCATTTGCAAGTTTTACCAGTCAGGAAACTGTCGCAATGGAAGTAAGTCCTTCGACTATGTCTATCAACTTCCCACTCCCATTCTCCAGATATCATGTTAATTTATTTCCCCTGTCTTAGTCAACTGCAGATTTGAACATCCGGGCGCATCCGCGAACCCATTCGGAGCACCTAGCTCTAATACCAACCGCTTCGGTGCCCTGAGCAATTCTGGCGGCGGCGGCGGTGGAGGAGCTGGGGGAGCTGCTGGAGCAAACAACCAGTACAAGGTCACGAAAGAGAGTATCAAAATCGACTTGGCCGATGAGCGTCCCTCATGGATCCTGTCGTGCTATGGCCCTGGAAGGGATGCCCCGGAGCAACTGTTCGGAGGATACCCTCGGGAGCAGAGTCTCGAGGAAGTGAGATTATACATCACGGAGTCTGCGAATCCACAGCAAGCAGTAAGAGAAACCCAGCCTGGTTTATTGTCGTGTTGTTCAATCGCTAAATAAGGGTGTCTTTCCAGCTATCTGAAGTCCAAGGCCTATACCAGCAAGCCGATCAGCAAATTTCAACGACGCTGAACAATCTCGACGGCGCGGTGCAATTCGTCCTAGCAGCCGAGAGCAAACACCCGAATCGCAACGACCTCTGCAACCAGAATACAATACAGGGCGGCACCAATGGCACCTTTGCGAGAGACGCTGTTCAACAACAGGGTGGTGGCTTTTATGCCAATCCTTCTACTTCGAGTTCCACCACCCTCGTCAACCCGAATTCCTTCCAAACACCGAGCCCAGCAAACCCGTTCAGTAGTGGTGGTAGTGGAGTGACCCCAGCATTCGGTCAACCGTCGGTATTGGGACAGAAGCCGAATCCCTTTGCATCATCGAGTGCCCCCGCTTTCGGCCAGCCATCGCAGATGGGTTCTGCTGCCCCTGCTTTCGGACAACCGTCACAACTAGGCGCGGCTGCTCCTGCTTTCGGCCAGCCTTCCCAGCTCGGCTCATCCGGTCCTGCGTTCGGCCAGCCGTCAGCTCTAGGGCAGAAACCGAACCCGTTTGCTTCCGCAGCTTCGTCCTCGTCGGCGTCGGGATTTGGCCAGATAGGCACAACTCAGAGCACACCGAGCCCGTTCGGCCAACCAGCCGCACTAGGACAAAAACCAAACCCATTTGGCGCGCCGACTACCACCACTCTGACTCCAAAACCGAATCCTTTCGCCAGTCCCTCCGCCTCCGCCGCCAGCAACCCCTTTGCACAGCAAAGCAGCGCACCCGTGGCCCAGCCTATGAACACTACTTCGGCCGCCGCGCCAGCACAGAGCAATCCGTTCGGACAACCTTCCAACGGTGCTGGCGGATTCGCCTCGCTTGGTGGGGCCGCTACGAAACCGAACCCCTTTGGCCAGCCACCGCCGCAGGCATCATCATCGCCATTTGGGAACCCAGCCACCCCAGCAGCCAGTAACCCGTTCGCACAGGCGGCCCAGCAAACACAACAACATACCCAGGCAGCACAATTTCAACAGCAACAGCAGCCTGGCCCTTCATCACAAAGCAACGCCAGAACCAACGGGACCGGCAACGGCAACAACCCCTACGCCCCCGGCAGCACGAAGCAGCACCCCGCGCTCTCCGACTACGCGGTGCGCGCCCCCGACGGGCGTCTCGCGTCCTGGCGGGGCCAGCCCGTCGTGTACAAGTGGCGGGCGGGCGACCGGTACGAGGACGAGCGGCCGGCCGACGCGGCGCCGGGCGAGCCGCCCGCGCCCGGGGTGCTCGACGGCCCGGGCCGCAAGTGGCGCAAGATCATCTTCCCCGACGGCCCGCCCCCTTACAACCCCGACACGGAGCCCGCCGACAAGGCCGCCGAGTACACGGAGGAGGTGCGCGCCGCCTACGCGAAGATGGCGGCCGCGGGGCTGCGGTTCGAGGGCGACATGCCCGAGGTCCCGCCGCTGCGGGAGGATTGCGCTTGGGTCTTTTGAGAGTAATAGAATAGGAAGTACAAGAGGTGAAACGATCGAATAATGAGAGGCACACGGTCCGGATAGATGATGATTTCATGGAGCAGCAGCGGGCGGGCATTGTCTTTTGCTAATTACTATCTTACGGGCTAGACGGGCGTCCTCTATGAGACGGCCAGGCGAGAGCACCGTCGAGTTGGAACTTCCACGAGCTGGGATAAATTAAATAGATACCCCTGAGCGTTGGTAGGCGCAAAGTTTTACACAATGACATATGACATATCACAATATCAACATCAGTACCAACGCCTTTTTGAGCCACAGCTGGATTTAAGACCATAATGGGTGTTCATCAGAATTTTATTTCGTTGTTGAGCTTCAGCTCGATTCCATGGATTCGGCTGGCTCTGCATAACCCATCAGCCGTAGCTGTGCGTTGATGCTTTTTTCCGTCCCTCTACCGGGCATCTCCTATGAATATATCCCAGTGTTGCCTCCAGCGGCCGCAACACTCCCCATTACTACACCTGACAATGCGAGGGTAGCTCGTAGTGGTGGTGGTGGTAGTGGTGGTGCTCCGTCTCCGGAAGCAATGCCGATTATCCCGTCTGGTTTCCGCTCGCGCTGCGCTGCGCTTAAGCGGCGATGGTGACCTCGACCTCGACGCCAGCCTCGATGTTGACGATGATCTGCTTGACGATCTCGGTGGGGGCGTTCAGGCTGTTTGGTACGAGTGGTTAGATGATATTCTCTTCTCTTCTTCCTTCTCCCTCTAGCGCACACCGGCTAGGAGAGGGGGCTGTTGAGTGGACAGATGGGGGGACTCACTCGATGAGACGCTTGTGGATGCGCATCTCGTAGGTGTCCCAGGTCTTGGAACCCTCACCGCAAGGGGTCTTGCGCGTGGTGATGGTCAGGTTCTTGGTGGGCAGGCGGACGGGGCCCTTGACGCGCAGGTCCTTGCTCTTGGCGCGCTCGATCAGCTCGGTGCAGACCTTCTCGAGCGCCGTGGGCTTGCGGCTCGTGAGGGTGATGCGGATCTTGTGGACCTTGGGCGCCTCGCCGAAGTCCTTGTCTCCCTTGTTGTAAGACATTTTTGGGTTCGGGTATTTTTTTGATCGGATTGCCGGGTTGTTGTTTTTTTAGGACGTAGTATTTTTCCCCTTCACGACTCGAACGGCGTAGGTACACGTTTCGGCTAAGTGATGAAGGTGAGGAGAGAAAAGAAGAAGAGAAGCTCGTAGAGGAAAGAGACGATGGTGGGGCTTTTACTTAGTCTGGCTTTGCTTCCGTCTGGGATAATTCGCGACCGGGAACTTTTTCCTGAATGTGGGTGGTTGATTAGATAGGCGATAGGGCTACTGAGTGCAGCTAATCTGGAACGGGTCTAGTCCGGTGATGGGGCTCCTAGCATTGGTCCGGGTCCAACGATGCGGAACGCTTCAGTTCAATGTTTTCCGTTTAAGGAAATACCTACTTAGGTAGCGAGTATCTATACGGCCTTATGTAACTATCGGAATGAGATCTGACCTACTAATCAGGAGCTCCTAATCAGCTAATGCTACGTACATAAGTTCGTTAATGCTGGCTACTGCATACCAAGTTCAAGTATGAGTAACTATGAGTAAGAGGAGAGTCATCCGGCCAAACGACCCCAGACTCCTATTCTCTTGTCCATGGCCCCTTGAACCTGAAGGCACTGCTTCTTTATCAAGGAACCACTAGCAGGCAATTCGTGCCTCTTGTGCCACCTCTTACTCGAATTCTACCTTGATTTGACTGATGCAACGCTCGACGTCGTCATGTCACTAACATTACCCCCGTTTGCGCCATTCCCAGAGGCGCCTTGGCGTCAACATATGGTTCCAGAAGAATGGGAGGCTTGTCTATCCGGTTGGGTCGCTCTGGCAGAAGCTCATCTGTCATTACCGGACCACGATTTCTTACGCCTGACAGTCAACGATGAGTCTGTTGGGCCATTCCTCATCTCATTTGTGAGAGAGACGGCATCGTCCGGCCCGTCTATTCTCGGTTCATCTCAGTCCGCAACCTCCCTCTTTCGGACGTCCTTCTTGCTTACTGCGAGGCTCCTGAGAATACCGGAGACTCCGCCGCCTTTCCTCCAGTGGGAATTCCTTTCTGACTTCTGCCGTGTCTATTCGAAAAAGAGAACTTCGAGTCTCATTAATGCCACGTTCAAGAAGTCGAAGGCAACCCCTGAAGCCTCTTTGCAAGCCCTCAAGAAACAGCTTATCGTTGGTCTTGACTCGGGTATGAAGGGTGATCTCAGGTTGTTAGAGGCTCGACTAAAGAAGATCAACCATCTTATTCATGTTTCCACTGACACGGCAGTCTTCTTCCTAGCCGGGAGCGATTTCCTCGATGGTCTCATCAGCTGCTATACTATCATGAACCCCCCATTGCGGAAGACCATCATCACTACTGCCTATTTGTGTCTAGTTGGGTTGACTGAAGGAGAACCACCC